GCGTGTTTAACCACATTGAAGAAGTGCTAAAGAAAAAATAAATGGGATAACAGGTTGATAACAAATGTCTCTGTTACTGAAGTATACCAAGAGGCTTTCTTCTAGGAAATACCACATTTTAAAAAACTATCATGATTTGGGACTAGAGTTTTTTTACTTCAGAAAAGTTACAGTGTGCTTTACCCTATTGTCATAGACAATGACGCACACTAAAATCTCTGCATGTTGTCATTATATGCTGGATATCAATGCTGAGAATTGCACATAGAATTCAGGCATTCCTTGAAGGGAAGGAGTCTCTGGATTGTCTCGCAGGATACCATGTGACCTTACGTGTCAATCTGTTACTGTCTAATGTGACCAGTAACTTGAGTTTCCCTAAAACAGTTTACAAAAGGTAAGTCATGAACTGAGGACAGCAATAAATAAGAATTCCAATGAGAAAATTATTGCAGACATAAATTGTCCTCCCTTGTAAATTATGAGCCTCTCTTCCATTTTTTATAAATTTTAAAATTTTTATATTCGTTTTCTTGACTCCACTGATTTCCCCCTCCCCCCAAACTTTCTGCTATAGAGTCCTCTAATTTTTTACTAAATAACTTTGAGGTGTCTGTTTTGTACAATGATACATAATCTCTGGCTTTCAAACCTGTGAAAATCTTGATTTGTTCATAGTAATATTCAATAAAAAGCACGTATTTCAAACGAAGGCAGGCATTTACCCTTTGCATTTTTTGGTAATCTTGTTGTTGCGGTGTGTATCTCTTGTGATGAGGATAACCAGGCTGTGCTTTTGCTGACAGGTTTCAGTCTTGCTGAGACATGTATAACTAAGAAATTAATCAAATACAGATACTAGCTACCCATTCTTGACTTTATAGGCCATTTCAAAATACTTACAGGTTTCTCAACAAACCAGAGGATGGAGGATTCCCTCTCCACATGCGTTACTGCTCAAGGGTTTCTGTGGGTTTGTAATTAAACGGTAAACGTAAAAACACTTTTAAAATGCACATTCACAGGAGAGTTTATAAGCAGAGAAGTTACTCAAACTCATCAGTGTTTTCCAGAGGAAGAAACAGTAAGCAATATGCAAATTCAGATGATGTTGGTATTGCAGAGAAGTTCTGTACTTAGGCTAAGCTAAGGCAGAAATGAAGTCAGAACATATTTTGCTTTGGTAGTGTGTCCCCAAAAGACTCCAGAAATCCTGGTCTCTCCTGTTGGGTAGAAGTAAGGATGCAAGCACAGCCAGGATTAGACCAGCCGATCGATGCAGGAGCTAAAAGGTGGTAGAGAAGTACTAACTAAGGTGAGCCAAACCCCAGTGTTGCCTTGTGCCTGTGACCTTGTTGCAGACTCAACGAGCTCTGCCAGCGCCATAGGACATGAATAAAATCCGTGTGTTTCCTCACTAGGGGCTGCATCCAGCTGAGCCACCTGCGTTGAACCAGGTCGTGCTGTCACCCAGTAAGTAGAGTTCCAGCCTGTGCTCTGTGTGGTTTCTGCCAAACAATTGCATGCGGAGGCAGCCGCCCCGCTCAGCTGTTTGGCTGAGTTAAAAATCACAGTCTGAACAGGGAGGAGAAGCCTTGAAAGACTGAGTGAAGGCTGACGATGCCTTATGGTGGATATGCTAACTACACGGGCGAGTGATTCATATGCGGGAGAAATTGTGCTCCTCACTGATGTCCTGATAACTTTCTTGAAATACTTCTCACACAAGTTGCAGTTAATTGAAGTTATTTCCTTCTGGATGGATTATTCAGGCACCAAGACGTTCATTCAAGGCACATGCCAAATATTGGAGGGCCTTGCAGAAACAGCTGAAAGTATTTTTCAGCGTCATGATGCTGCAAGGGAGTGACCTACGCTGAAGAGCTGCGGGGTGAGAGCGAGATCGTGGGGGTGCCACGGGTGGGTTTTTTAGCTCAGTGATAAACCGCAAGGGTCGTATCCCAGAGAAACTGTGGCGCAGTCATGAGGGGCACGGCTGTCACTCCTTTGTACGAGGATGAAAGCCGAGACGGTGCGTTCGGTGTCGTTACCTGCTGCAGCCATGGCGGTGTGGTGGCAGAAGCAGGTTGGGATCCAGGCAGTGAGAGCATGAGCCCCTCCAGTAAAGAATAGGATGTAGGACAGGATAATTAATTTCCTAGATTTTGTATAGTTTTCCCAATGACACCTCATGTTCCTACACCAGTTTCCCATTTGTAAGGTAAGGTAACCTGCTTTCTAGTTTTGACTCTTTAAGGAGGGGAGAATTAATGTCAGACTTTTTCCAAAAAAAAGTAAATTAGTAATGGGCACTTGCCTTTCCGAGGGGCTGTTTGCTCATATTAATATTGACAAGAAACAACTATCTCTCATCTGAACTGTTTGTGAAGAGCTTGAACGGTTAGCATTCCTAAAAGTGTCTCCATGGCAAAAATGTTTGGAAGAACAACTTACCTGTGCTTTCTGAGGGAGCCTGAGCTGGCACTTTTTTCTTTTTTTTTTGCTCCCCCCACCCATCTGTTTTGGTGGGAATCCTTCAAAATCAAGACTGGGGTAAAAGAGAGGCAGAGGGTTCAGGCATACTCCCTCTGTTATCACCCTGGTAATGATGTGGAGGACTCCAGAAATGCCATCAGCACTCAGACAGAGTCACCTTATGGCAGCAGTACCCTATGGAAAACAGTTGGGTCATGGACACAGCTTTTGTTTTCCAGAGGAGCCTTTTGCTGAGGAACTGTGATTGCAGAATGCTTTGTCTGCAGCTTTAGCTTTGTCCCAGCTGGGGAAAGGGAGGAGTGGTGGGTCACTGTGCAGGGCTGTGGTGATGCCCAGCAGCCTGGCTGTAGCGTCAGGGAAGAACAAACCCGTTTACCAAGTGATAGGAGAGCACTGACCTAATCTGGGTTGCAGAGAGAAGCAGGGAGCAGGCAGGTTTGAGCGGTCAGGGAGTTACCGGAACTCGGCGGCAGAGGTTGATGTAGTGATTATGGCCTGTGTAGGGGCAGGGCTGGAGCCAACTGGACAGCATTTAACACAGCCACAGTTCTCACGGTTGGGAGTGGAGCTTCAGCTCGTGGGGGGTGGGGAGGGGGGCAGGGATGTACTAGGAGACTTCACACATTAGCCTTCGGTCAAAACTGACGTCACAATGGTACTCTTTCAAAAAAATACTTTTAATTCTCCTGGCGTGTTTTCGTCCCCTGTGAAATCAATGATTTGGGGGTGCTGTACTCCTGGGGCAGGAGGCCTGCAGCTTTCATGGCAAGATCTTGCTCATTCTTTCCCCAACACCCCTCCTTCCCCGCTGCCCCCTGAATCGGAGCGCGGGATGCAGAAGGAGCCCCGTGAAACGGGTGCTGGCATTTCCAGGGGGCAGCGTACCCAAACAATACCGCAACCACTGAAAATGGTGTTGGCGTTGCTGGCTTTGTGACGTTGTGGACTAAAACGATCCAAAAGGAGGTTGAGGGAGAAGGAACAGCTGCAAACCACGTCGCTTAAGGCCGCAAGAGCCGTGTCTCCATACGGGTGTGCGCGCGCCCATCCGCGAGTTCCGTGCTCCCTCTCGTGGCAGATTCTGCCCAGTAAATCCATCGCCACTCGCACCCCGTTGGTGGCAAAACGCGCTTCTGCTCAGCCGCGGGAAGCGTCTGGCATCTGAACTGTTCGAATGCTACTGCGTCCCAAGCCCCATAGACTTATAAACACAAATAGCACTGAATTCTTTTTTTATTGACATTGGGGGAGAAAAATCTTTCACCATCTGACTGACCGAAGTTTGCCAAATGAAAATAGACAAAACAAATGTTGATGTACGTGCAAACATTGCAGATCAAACTGCTAAAAGAAATAACTAAAAGACAGGTCTTCAGCTAAGGTCAAGCAGCAGAAAAATAGCAAATAGGTAAATGACTATTAGGTAGGTCTTACTTTGAAACTTCCCATTTAAACAAAGAATAAACAACAATTAACACCACCAAATAAAGCCACAGCAGGTAATAGTTGCTCTTCTAAACTTTTATACACTATATATCAAGCACTCTGTCTTTCAGTTATTTCCTCTGATAAAACTGACTTCGGTGAAGTCTCAGCAAGGCCATCTTGGCTGAAAGCGTAACGGTGGCAGGAGCCTGTCTAATGACCGACCGGTTTGCAATGAAGAAATGGTGGGGTTTGGCTTCTCCTTCCTTTCTTGGTTTTTTTTTTTGTTCTTGGTTGGATATATATCTGGAAATGAGAATCTGGTTCTATGTAAATATTACATTTAGTTTTCCGATGCTGGCTGGTGTCCGAAGATCCCGGAACGAAAAAGTGGCTCTTGGTAAAGCAAGGTGGTTCTTGGTCCGCAGGTAACTAACATAGAAGAAAGTTTTTGTGGTTTTGTATAAATCATGTTTTATTAAATTGCTTTTTTGTATGTTTGTTTGTGTAAACAGTTCTTCTGGGTTTATTTGTTTGTTTTTAAGAGGTGAGCCATCATGGTGCTTCCCTGTGGAGATCTAACATTTCCATTTTGTCTTTAGAGGTCCACTTTGGCTCCAGTTCCAGGTTAGTCAATCTATTATACATCATCAGAGGCAGGTGCTCAGCTTTAAGTGTTGACAGATTTTCTCAGGAGGAACGTGTCAAAGCTTCTAACTCTGCTAAACATATTCATTTGACTGTTACAATCCAAAAACTGTAAAAATGGTGGAATGGAAAGATACAAACAGTATTATTGACACTGTATTGTCAAATGTTTTCACTGAGACCCCATGTACCATAGATTTCATTTTTAAAAAATCATATTTATATCCATTTACATAAGACTTACACATTTTAAAAGAAATACATACACAGTAAATACGTAGATGTCTAGTATTTTACAATAAAACGGATGGAACAATGTAAAAATGAGTGGCTTCATTTGATAAAAGCTTTGGATGTGCACTACTGCCAAATTTCTGATGACAGAGATGCTGAGAGGAAAGGGGGAGGTTGTTTTGTTTTCCTTTATTTTGTAGTAATTTCGGTATTTTTTTAACGTTCGTTTTGAACTAGCCAATACGTGAAAGGAACGTCGTATCTGTTCATCTGATAAACCTGGTATGTTCTCTGCCCTATGACCCTGTTCTTGCAGAGAGCTTTAATGCTCCGTTTCCCAAGTCCTGGTAGTGCACTTCAGGTAAAGTAGAAGAAAGAGATGACATCTAAGGGAAAAAATAAACAAACATACATTAATTCTTGGATTCTCATTTGGCCTGGAATGCAATGACATAGCACTAAGTAAGCCACTGCACGTTCTACTGAAACAAGGGTTTGGAGTACCCGCGGGAGACGTGCGTTTGTACGTTCATCTTAGATCTGCAACATGAATCTATTAATAATGCAGTTCAGACTTTCACTACTGTATACTGCCTTTTGTCCTAGATCAAAACAGACTCCTGCTTATGTTCAGTTTACAGTTGTTTTCTTGCTGTTTTCATTCAGCACTGGGGTTGGTTTCCTGCCTGTGCAGACCTTTGCCTGTTTGGCACATGGCTGAACACACATTTTAAGTGTGTAGACCTTGCTGATGTATTCTGTGAATCTCCTTATTCACCGCAGCTTCACAGCATTTACCTTTTTCACCCTGACCATTTCTTTGCTATATGATTGTTCACATTTTTCTGGAACTCTTCTTCTCCATCTCTCTTTAGAAATCCCCGTTGGAACCCTTCACTGACCTAGTACATCACTGACTTTGCCGCATCTCCTTTGACACTTGACTGGAATAAAAGTGAAATTAGTACGTTCTATCACCCCAGCCTGCGGGGCTGAACCTTCTGGCTTGGCAGTGACGAGGATTTCAAAAGAGGAGAGTGCTGGGAAAGCTCAGACAGCGTGGCTGCTGACTCCACTGGCTGTGCAGCAGCACTGCAGACGCTCAGCTGGGCCACGTCCAGCCAGCGCAGCAGGAAGGGCCAGACCCCGGGTGCCTGAAATGCCCGTAGATGTCTGACCCAGAGAGCGCCCAAACCGGGCTGCCCGCAGCACCCTCACGTAACTGTTCTGAGAAGGTCAGTTCACCGTTCCTGGCAGCTCGTCACGGTGGTTTCAACAAATGTTTAAAGCCCCACCTGAAACACAACGTGGGAGTGTGTGAACTGAACCCAGCTGTTGTGAAGAAACACTGTACGACACTGTAAGGCTGTACCCAGTTGGAATTGTTGGCATAGACTATTCTGAAATACAAGGCTTTGACATCCTCTGTGAGCAAGGTGAGTTGCGCAACGCAAGAATCTGCAGTTTGCCACGATCACAGGCCACCTCATTTGTTCCACGTGCAACCCATTTGCAGCTCTCTTTTCAGGCTGCTCTTCATATGCATATTCTGCTCTACTAGATAAAAAATTCTCTTATGCTGCTATTGTGTGGTGCTCATCCAGCTATCCATCCCCTCTGCTTCCAGTCAGAACCCGTCCCTGGCTCTGTGCATGCAGGGAGCTCGGTCACCAGAGTAAAGCAGCTACCAATGGATTCCAAGCAAGGTGTTACAAACCTGGGTCTTGCCCTGACCTGGATCTGCAAAATTTCAGGAAGTTTGTTGTAATGAATAGTCTTCCCTTTTGTCCAGGTCTCGATCAGTTCCTTCCATGAATAAACTGTTACTCGGGAACTGTGATCACAGAATTCTGAAAACTCCTGTTGCCCTTCAACCAGCTTCACGTGCCCCGTACGAGCAGTTCTCGTTCATGCATTCATCCTTGAGATTCAGGTAATTGGTTTAACTTTCCAAGTTTGGTATAATAATAAAGGAAATCTTCTCCCTGCATATTTTTAATATGATTTACTGAAGTTGAAAATTATTTTAACGTGCTCTTTGGTTTCTAACCTGCATGACGTTTTTAAATTGCGTTTTTGAACAGTGCGTGCACCAAAGCTCTAGATCACACCACCCTGTTGCTTCTCTGAAGGGAGTATATGGTAAGTGGAAAGAAGTGACAGTACGTTCGTGTCAGTCGCCCTTATATATTAGCCTTTACGACTCAGATGGAAATCAGATATTCTTATAGGATTCTCAAGCATTTGATAGTAGAATGTAATTGGCAGGATAGTGGACGAGCAGCAAGTGCTGATGTGATACATCTCACTGGTACTTGAAACGCTACTAATACTCCTGTAGAAACTGAGGTTGACTTGTATAACTTCGTATAAACATCTTCTTGCTCAAAAAAACCTAACAACTCCCATATACATACAGTGCCAGCCAGCAAAGTTTGCTACTTCACTTCTGTTTGTGGATTGCTACTTGTTAGACAATTTTTGAATACACTGGGACTAAACAATTTCAATAATTTCAGGTTAATTTTTGTTAACCTACCGATTTTCAATTTCTGCCCTTGTTGCACTCTTCAAACCTGTCGGAAAATGTCACCTCCTGTGCCTGGCCCATTAATGTTGGCCTGATCGATAGCTTGGTGTTTGAATGTAACTTCTTGGTCATACTTTATTTCTTTCAACACTGCAATTCTGAAGCATTTAGGAGAAAAGATACACATCTCTGAGATCAGCTCCTACCCCCACGGAATCCAGTGAGAGTATTGCCCTTCGCTTTACTGATATAACACCAAGCTCTAATTTATACACATGTAAACATAAAAAGATTTATGTACTTTACATGGTTCATCATCATCCTTGTAGGACCAGCTGCTCAACTTACCTGTTTTAGGAAAAAAAAATCTCCTGTGCTTATTTTTCAGTGGTGTCATGAGAAGTTCCCTCTTCTACTAGACTGAGATTTTATACTCTAGCAGTTCCCTACAATCCCGAGTAACTAAATGGAAAACTGTTTTACTGAGAAAATATTAGCATGAAATGGTGCCATACTGATGAAAGCGCTCATTGTGCTAGTCATTTCTGCAAAACTTGTCATGTAGCAGCAAAGAGTGTATTTCTGCAGAGCTGCAGAAGAGTGACTCTGTGAGATTCATAGCAATACTCACAAGATAAGTGGTGGGAAATGCAACACGAATTCCAGTACTAAATTTGATCCAATGTTGTGTCCAGCTCAGAATATCCTTTCTTTGTCACTGCCAGTTCTGAATGATTTGGGAAGTACAACAATCTCTGTACTATGTACCTTCAGAAGTTGTTCTCTGTTTCGATCTAGCTTTATGCAGCTACCTGACATTCTAAACCTGGCCGTATCCCTTATTTAAAAAAACCCAAATGTCAATCTCTTCTGCTTTACGAGCTGTTCCCCCTCTCTCACTTCTGGTGGCACTCCTTCAAGTTCCCAAAGCAAACTATCTTTAGAACTAGCAAGTTCTATCTGCAAGCTTGAGAGCATAAAAAGTACGTTATGACTGGTGAGCTGTTATCTGAACAGAGTTGTCTGAAAACTTTTGTCTTAAAGTGGTTTCAGCAGAAAGAAGCTGCTGTTTGAGATGGGAAGAAAACAGCGTCACATCCCCTGGACTGAGCGTGAGCCCGCTGGCGTGACCAAATGACCACCCTAGCGAGTCTGGGTTGGGTCCTCTGCTCCGTGCTGTTCCCGCTTGAATCACGAGAAGGAGTACGGGGTGTAGGGTACAGTTACCAAGAGCTTTCGTGACGGCCCCTTACGAATACTCACAACAATTCAGTGCTGGCTTCTTTGCTAGGCCTTGTCAGCATGAGTATGTGCGCACTGTTGAGCTGTCTAACCTCTGCAGTCGTGATGAAGCAACTGCAAATTGTAAAATAAAAGAGAAAAAAGAAAGAAACAAACCAGAACCTCTTTAGAATCATGAAGAAAATAGATCAGTCTGTTTCCAACGGGAAGGGTGGCTGTTAAATTGCACTGTAGCTTTCTATGACATGATCTGCACATGGTCTAGTTCAGAACTCAAGAGTTTCTTCCTGTCTGGTGTACTACTGAAAACTGTCTTAAGTGAATACAGTGTAAAACTCAATTTTATCTTTATTTTGTTGGAAGTCCTAATACTGTACCTATCATGCTGTTTAAATACTACAGCATTCTTGGCAATGGGAGACAGAGGAAGCCAAATCCTGGATGAATATGCAGGTCTTCAAAGCCACCTACATTTAAATCTACCTAGTGCAGTACCCAGCTCAATAATAAACTGTCTGGAATAACTCAAGTTAATCACTAAATCTCCCTTGTGCCTGAGTTCCCCATCTGTAAAATGGGAATAATACCTTCTACGTCATAGCGTGGCCAGATTACATCCATGAGTGTCTGTAAGGTTCTTAGCTACTACAGCAATGTGGGCCATGGAAATGGGCAGGGAGCTAGTGCCTTTACTTGTACATGGAATTTGCCTTGGAATGGATTCTTGTCCTAAAACTTCATCATTGCCAAAAAGTGCAGGATTAAAAGCAAAGCGTGCACATGAGCAGTGAAGTCAATGGAATTCACTAATGCAATCAGTAAATTATTTCATCTGTAACAACTATAAAGTATTATTTTTAAAGGCCATCTGTAACTGCAACTATAAAGTATTATTTTTAAAGGTGAGAAAATTTTAATGGAATTTAGAGGGCAATATTGCCATACCAACTTCATTCGGGAGTTGCAGAACGTAATCACTACAAGTAGTGTATTAAATTAACTTGGAGACAAGTCTATTAATGGGCCTAAATTTTCTCATGAGGAAACAAGCAACATTATTTGGAGTGGGCCAATCTGTACACTAGTACTTCTCAGAACTTCAGGCAGGTACAGAATCATAGAATCATGGAATGGTTTGTGTTGGAAGGGACCTTAAAGATCATCTAGTTCCAAGCCCCCTGCCATGGGCAGGGACACGTTCCACTAGACCAGGTTGCTCAAAGCCTCATCCAGTGTACCTGAAGGAATAACCGCACTGGGATTTGTCCCTTCCCCCTGCCCTCTTACAACGATTTTTGCATTTTACTTATTTTTGGAATTATGATCGGCTTGTAAATTTTCCAACCACATCCAAGTTCGTGCATCTTTTGGAAGCTGAAAGATTTCCAGAGAAATTAAGACTGGTACACAGTAACTCTATTAGTACCTGAAATTCAGTATTTGCTAACCAAACTGCCTCTCTGGTTGTTAGCAACTTGAATTATTTGATGGTCATGGTTAAGCTAGTTATTTTTAAAGTCAAACAGGAAAATAAAGTTGGTAGCCCTTTCTAAGTTCATTCTCTGAAATGAACTCTACCTGCTAGCGTGGCTAATGAGCTGAAACATTTGCTTAGAAATCAATAGTATGCCAAGTCAGTGCTTCTCCATTCCCCAAGTCAGCTCTCCCGGACTCCAGCCCTATACTGGATAGGTGAACTAGGGCACCGTTTTGTACTAAGAGTCAGATCAGTGCACGACAGACACGCACTCCAAGTCAGTTTAGCACGCTAGAACGAGCCTCTTGCTTTTCGAGGGTAAGTGCAGAAACGGCTGCGTACCGTCAGTCGCCATCTTCCGCGACTGCCCCGACGTCGTGGTTAGTCTGAACCCCGCCGGCAGCGTTTCCGAGGAGCCCGGCATCATGCTGATCCCGTGAACCTCGCGTGGAGGAAACTGTCGTCGCCAGGAGGGGCCGCGTCTGAAGTTCTTGTCATCGCTCTGTCAACACAGAGTTATATTTGATGAAGCAAACTGAAATTTTGTGACTAATTATCCTGCCGCCTGCTGCCTCTGCCACTGTCAAATGTATTCCACGGCAACCGCCCCGCTCTGCTGCACTGCATCCAGTAACTGCACTCTTCTGAAGGCGAGTGCTTCAGAAACATTAAATGCTAGGGTGGAAAGTGTCTCTTAAATCTCTGCCTTGATATAGCAGAGGTTTTTAGATATCAGCTACAGTAGAACTTAAATCTCTCCCAAATACAGTGACAGAAAGTGCAGGGGTTTGTTACTGCGTTAGGAGGCTTTCGTAAAGTGCTGATAGAGAATTAAACACTCCTGTTGCATGCACAGCATTCACAGGCATCTCACATTTTCAAAATTTTGTTCCTCCTTATGTACGGAAGTCCAAGACTTGACCTTTTTTCAAATGGATTCTTACCTTAAGATGAATATTTTCTGTAGGTGGATTTGAGATCCCCCTTACTAGATAACTGCCCCAAATCCCACTCAACTACATATTGATTATCTTCGAGGAAACCACCAAAAAAACCCCTATCAAAAATCTACTTATTTCCTTTTTTTTTAAGAAGGGGTCTAAGTGTCCTAAAGAATAGGTAGTACAGGCATTCTCCCTACGTGCTCTGGCCAGTGAAACTTCCACTCCTTTCTGCATGTTTCCTATGGAAAATGTTCATCTTAAGGTAAGAGTGCAGTGCAGAATTTAGCATCCAAAATGATATGAATATTTAGCCATACTGGTGTGACTTTAAAAACCTTGACGGGCATTTCCTAATCTTTTTTATAGCTGCCACTGACGCTTTTCAACAATGGGTGAATTAACACCTCTTCATGCATGTAATTTTTACATTTTACTCTCATACTTTATAAATACTGAAAATAAAATTAATTACTTCCTCAAGTCGTCTTTCAGTTCCTAGTGCTAAAAGGTTGTTGTATTCTCTCTCAAGGATCTGCCGTGCCTAGAGATACCAAAGTAAAAGATTAAAATGGTTGAAGATGAAGAAAAGGCAATAATGGGTACAGATTAACCAGAAGTAGCATGAGCAAACTTGCCTGGGTGTTCTGTGTTGGAATCTGTAATAATAAAGCTAAACTGCTGTAATCAAAGTTTTCATCCAGAGCTATAAGTGAACCATGTACACCACTTTCTAGAATGTTATTTGCATATTCTCGGAGGCCGATAGCTTGTATCCAGCGTATGACTCGATCATTGCTCCACACCAGCACATCTGTAAAGACAGAACACCGGGTCAGTCTCCTGGTACCCCATAACTTCCGAACCGTACTGGTGCATGCACGTAGTTCTGCATGCACTGTGGATGTCGTACTGCTTCAGTTCTTAAAATAGGAATGCCAGAAAATTTTTCATATAGCTTAATATCTCCTATTTAAAGCCCTGTGTGATTTGAGCTACCTCCAAGATAAATGCTTAGTCTATTCTAAATCATGTTGCCAAAGGAGAAAGGTGCCTCCAGAGGGCACCTCCGGAATGCAAATCCTCCAGCCTCCTATAGATACCCTTGTCAATTCTTAGGCAAGATTTTGCAGTTTAACAGTCCAAGGGCACAGGAGAAATTCCCAAGGCGTCCCTGGAAAGTTCTGCATTCAACATTTTGAGGGTCGGGTCAGCACCAACCGTTTTATAACATTCCATAAAGCAAACGATGAGTTCACAATCTCAGAGACTACAACAATTTTTAGTTCAGAAAGCTGGTTGAGCTGTTAAGGTCCATGCCAGCTATAAAGCTGAGGCAACGAAATGAGCTAGGAAACCATTTTTGAGGACTTGGCTATTATAAAAAAAAAAGCTCCTACCCTAGCCGAAAGGTTAAAGTTACTTATACTGACCTTCAGACTTGTGAGTGGGAAATGTAACACTCAGTTTTGTGTTGCTAAGTGACGAGGCTTTTTCCTGAACCCTTCTAAGTCCTGGTAATGTAGCTGTGCTGGGAGCAGGCATTCTCCATGACCTAACCAAAAGCATCCCAGACTTTGGGGTCAGGATTGCCTGCAACGGAGCACGGCAGCCAGGGGTTGCCGAGACCAAATCCCACCTGGGACCGGTGCCCAACAGGTTGAAGGAGGCTGTGGGTTATTACCCTTGTCCTAGTGGTGACTGGCACTGAAGCAACAGTGGAGGCTGTTGGAGACTGATTCCCTATTCCCCCATGTCAGCCTCCAGCTACACCCCCTCGGGCTGACTGACGGATGCCTCCACATCCAAGGCAGATGCATTAGTGCATGCCATCATCTGCTCTGAGCAAATGCACGCTTCCGCCACAGCCATTCCCCCTTTTAATTCCCTCTTTAGCTCTTCCAAGCAGCATTGTGCTTGGGAAGTGGTGACTGCTCTATTTGTTAGAGCTGGAAACGCTTAAAGGAATCAAAGGATTCACTTCTGATAATGGAAAAAAGCCCAACTGCCCTAATTGTTATATCTAAAAGAAAGCATGCAGCGAGCCTGCAACTGCTCTAGAGAGCTTCACACAGAAAAATACTTTAAAATCAGCTGTTAAATATTCTAACAAGGCCAGTTCTGACAGGAACTACTCATATACCAACCAACTGCCTCAGTGGCCACCCCTCCAACCAACGTTTTCTATGGTACACATGTCAAAGTTCGAAACCAAAGGCAAAGGTTTTCAAAAGCAAGAGCATGGTGTTAGGGTCCTGACTGCTCCCATTTCACAGTGTTGGCCCCAGCACGTCCCGCTGAGCTGCAGGCTATCTGGCCTTCTGCTTCTGAGACTCAAAGAGGCTAGAATAAGATCTGTACCCGGAATCCAATTTAGCAAAATGTATGTATCAAACCACCACTTGGAACTGCAGCCCGAATTTAGCAAAGTACTTAACTGTGCCTAATTTAAGGAGGTATTTTGTCTTCTGAAGGCAGAGGGACTTACATTAGTTTTACTTAAAGCACGTGCTTAAATGCTTTGCTAAAATGGCATGACAATGGGTTAATAGTTTCAAGCTTCAAAAGAAGAAACATTCCCAGGATTCATTCCCAGAGACTATCACCTTTTATTTCATGCTGACTCATTTCTCTTCGCTTTTCCAGTTCTTTTCTATCATAATTCAACCTCTTTAAACACATGATTCCATATTGCAAGCTTGTTCTGTTATTTAAAGAGAAACATTTACAGAGTTAATAAATATAATTTTGAAGATGGGAACATATGTAGGATGTATTTTCCTGCATATCACATGAGGTGTTGCATGGTGCCTGTGCAGCAAATCTTGAGGAGAGGGAAGAGCAAAACCATTAAAAAAAATCTCCACAGGCTTCAAAAATGAAATGGACAAACCGAAATGAATATGGTTGAATAAATGTTCTAGCATAAGAAACCCCAGACATTAAAAACCGTATTCAGAAAAGGTCAGCTCTTGCGAGCTGTGAAATGTTTTGGCAAATCAGGCCTCAAAAAAGTGACAAATCAGACAGTACATTAAAAAAAAAAAATCCACTTCTTGCACATAATCATCATTCTCCCTAAAGTCTAAATGCCTTTATTTCCATATTTCCAATTTAGCTTCCCCGCTATATCCCTGGATAACCTGAACAACCGTCAATTTGCTTGTACAGTTAATGGCTTTTACGTGCTACACACAATAGCTTTTCGTCATTATGAGATCTCAGGGCTTCATATCTTAGTCCACCACTTTCTGATACTTTAAACCACTTAATAATTTATTACTGTTTCTGTATTGTCGAGGCTTCATTTATTCATTAATGGTCCCCTGCTCATTATGAAATTTATCTTAGTTTTGAGAGACGTAACTGCAATGCGGTTGCCATTTCTAAAGGAATCTGTCTCAGTTCAGATTTCTGACACTCAGCACTCACTTTTCTGTGTGGTTTTCCACACCAGAACAACAGAAAGTAAGTGGTTTTGCTCTGTGCAGCACGGAGCACTACGTCAGACACATAAACGCCTTAATAGGTGCAGCCTTCACGCCAACGTACCGATGAAAGCTATCCACCATCTTTAAGTGCACACGCAGATCTTTCTTTGTCAGGTGATCTAACATCCTCGCGTCTACCAGGCATTCCATAAAGTAACTTCGGTACTGAGGTAAACCCAGACTGGGGAGCCACTCGTTACCTATCCATTCGTGGTTCATATCACCATAAGCCAGGGTCTACAGGGAAACAAAAGGGATAAGGAGAGTGAATCCTGGAGTCTGTCCAAGGTTGCGCTGCAGACTGAAGACAGAGTATCTGTCTGTGGTGCTCTTTTTCTAGTGAGGCTTCCTAGGTCAGAAATCCTGTCTAAAAGATTAATTCTGTATTTACATCGTTTTGGCACTGGAGGTGGAAGGCACTGAGAGAGATTTGTTACTGATAGCATTTTTGCCTGTTGTGTCTTGTTCTCTACCTTTGTAAATTTTAAGCAATTATTTTGTAATAAGAACTTGTAGTTTCAGTTCTGAGTTTTAAACGCAAGCAGAGTTACTACGCGATCAAAACGTGCTTGTTTCGTAACCTTAACTTGCTTTCAATTGCCCTTCTAGAATAGTTATGCTAGGCAAATCTTACACTGAACTTGGTAAAACAAACATGGCCTCAGGGAACCAACTGAAGTTTGTGTCAGTGTTCAGGGGTGGCGAGGATTTCTGAAATAGGATCTCGTGACGCTTCATGGTTACACGCCTGTCGTCCTTTTCAGACTAAAAGTTAATTTGAGTTGTTCATCAGCCAAGCTTATGTTCACCATCAGTCTTCACCAGCAGTCAGAGCAGGTGACCAAAACATTCTATTCATGTGGTATTTTGAGCTGTGAGTAGCCTACGCCTAAGTGCATCATATGTGGGAGCTCAATAAATTAATTCTTTAAGATAGGAACAAACCAGATTCCTCTAGAGGCATTCAGGCATTCAGCTACTTCACTGTCCAGCTGAAATTTCAACAGGGTGAGGAAGAAAGTGTATGAAAAACACACATGCATGCTGAGCTGTTTTTATATGGCTTGCACAATTAAGCTGCAAGATAGATTTTACATCTTACTATTGTCAATTTTTTGTACTACTAAAACATAACAGGAAAGAAAATTCATAAATTGCAAGATTAATATCTCCTCAATAGGACCGTGCTCAGCTTTGAGCATCACGTTCAAGACTAATTATCTTTAGGGTTTGCTTTTAATGTCTCCTCTCATTATAGACTAAAGGATGACACAAAGGGAGCCAGATATATTTTCTGTGGGGGAAAATCTAGTCGCCTCATCTCTCATTCTTGTGAGATTTTGAAAAGAAAAGAAACGCTATAAGCAAAGACAGATAGTGTAAGAGTGTGCATATACTGGAAAGAAGTTGCAACACAGAAGCAATTGACAGTATAATTAAAGTGAAAAATTTTGTTCCAAATTATACAAGACTGTAGACTGATACATGGGTGTGATTTATACAATTGTTCTAAAAAAAAATCTGGTGTAATTTTAGAGTTGTTAGGTCTCAAACTCTTGACATATTTTATTAGCCTATGCTCAAAAATGAGGTTAATATTTTTTTCTAGGTTTATCTGGGAGGTAGAAGATGTCTCTGGAATGCAGCAATTTCTTTTAAGAAAAATATTTACAGCATATTTGTGCTTTATCTAGCAAACCTGTCCAGAGAATATTTTCTCTGTATTAGAAGAGTTCCAAAATGTGTAAATCATAATTGAATCATTGAAATACTGTCACAGTACTATACTCCTCTGTGCATATTATTGATTCACTGTTAATTACATAATTACTAGTGTTCTGTTCAAAAAAGTAATGTGAAAGGTTCATACCTGAGCCCAGCTGCCTTCTTCAGATTCTTTCTGTGTTATCAGCAGG